TGCATTCGAAGTGAATGATCATCTTTCAGAAAAAGGTTGCACTTCGTAGCAGTATATCTATTGTTATCTTTGTGGCAGCCACCTCTACTTGAAAGACTCTGCTGTGGTCGGGAAGTTTACACCTAGAAGCAAGGAAATCTCCCAACAGAAGACATTATTCTCCCCATGAGTTTCGTATATTACCACTGGTGAAAAGCTTACTGCGCCCCTTCTCTAGAAGCATTGCTTTGGTTTATTTAGTTCACACTCTTTTGAATTAAACTCATCCGGACTTGGCTGTTTAAAATTTGTCTTAACAATATTACTTAATATTAATAAGTATATGTGTAAAAAAATTTTCAAAATATCAAGAAAAAACAACTCAGCGTGTTTACCATCGATATCTTAAATATCAAGCACAATAAAATAAATATTTGTTATTATTAAGATGAATGTGACATCTCGTGTCGCAATAAAGTCCATTACACAAATGTGAAACATCCAAATCTGTATGTACTACACCATTTACGTATGAATATTTTTATTGCATAAAATATTTCACACATACCTCAGTTTCATACGATTTTATTTTTGCACATTGTAATACTAGCAGTTGTCTGACAACACTTGCCAAATGGTGGACACATGAAACAATAAATTGCAATTCCAAGTCACTTCAACAACGAAGGTTGCTTTTACATGTTTGTCTGCGCATTGTACAAGTACCTACATATGTATATAAAAACCATAAAAAAATATATATTATATAATATATATTCCCGTATCAAACATATCAAATGGCCAGTGAAAAGCGGCACTAATATAATGTCAGAAACAAAACTAGTATATACTACGAGTATATATGAGCATAGCAAAATGCACAAGAAGAAAGTAAGGAGCAAACACATTCGGGGGAAACCGGACGAGTGTTAGAATAAAAGTCTCTTTATTGAATTTGGTACGCTGCACCATTTAATTATAAAAAGAATTAGGGGAGTCTCCATACAACCTAGCTAGAATCTAACTTCTAGCCAGATATAAGTCCACATTACTTTTATGAATAACACCGAGAGAATAAAAACATTATGCTCGAATATCATCGCTATATAGTATAGTTGAGGCTCGTAACATCTCTTGAGGTTATACTCAATATTTGTACGTGTTTTTAAACAGTCTGGAGAAATGTTTTGCTACACCATAGATTGCATTTAGGTTTTTTTTATGATATAACAAACAACCTTCATGCAAGAAATTATATTCCGATGTAAAATATTGAGTTTATAGATATGAACTTTCATAGTTGTCGTTGTTGGTTTTGCATTTCTCTCGTTGCCACTGTCACTATCACTCCCAATGTTGCTGCCACAATCATTGTTGCTGATGCAGAAGCTGTCACTCTGTCAGTGCTATCCACATGTCATGCTATCCACATGGCCCGTTCTGTTGGTTGGTTAACGCTACGGAGGGGAAGTGTGAAAAATCGTACATAGTTACATATAGTATAATGTGAATATTAAACATGATGTATATAATTCTATAAATCAAACTACTTAGTTCAATTTACACTGCATCAATTGGAGCTGACATACAATAATATATAAAGAAATGATTGCATCATCATTATCGGGGATATACAAAGAATATTTAGAGCAGTCAAAGCAACATATTATGTACAAGGCTTTATGTAATATTTCACAAAGTCTGTGTCAATTGATTTTTAAAAGAGCACACATTTGTAGTCAGATTTTATTCATTTTTGATCATGTCACCACATATTGTTGTTTGGAGTATAAACGTATTGCTGGTTCTTCCGAAAATCTATAATATCAAAGATTTCTTCCAAGTGCCAGTTTGAACTGAGTATTCAATTTAGTAAGAATATATACTTTAGATAAACTCTTAAATATTATTGTTATACCAGCACTAACACATTACAAACTTTCTATTTAGAGATGTTTATTGTAAATAATATTCGAGAACCGCCGGGTGCACATCCTGACTTGGTTACATTAATAATATCAATACTCACCTTATTTTTGCAGCTAATATATAAAACTAATATCATTGATATAATATTTTAATTTGAAGTGTTCTATAAATATAACATACGAATATGTAAAACCATGTACTTTCCATATGTACATACATATATGATATATTTGCAATCAGTATAAATTCACTATCAGTTTAAAAGGTCACATTTGGCAAAAGGCAAACATCATACATTTTACATCCATCGCAATTTTTAAAATCTTTCTAGAGGTTTTTCTACTAACAGCAGCGCCATCGATATGTACTATTGCCTTACAGAACGCTGCGACACTAGCTCTCGTTGCAGCATGCACCGCACCAACTTGCAATGAAATGTATTCTACTTGTTTATTCACCTTCAAGTAAATGTAATACGTTCTCAATCATTCAACAAAATTGTCATTTGAAGCTTCAACCTTTTATAAGGTGTGTATGTGTGGAAGTTGAGCTCAAAAGTGCCAAGTGACTATTGATAAATATCAATTTTTCCCTTTCTGATATTTACTTACCGTTGCACCCCTATGCAGGGCAACTTTTTAAACGTTTTGCATTATATTTCACACATTTCATAGCATTTGCTTGAGTGATTAGCTGTCGAACTCGTGTTTTCTTTTAAATGCAACGAAATCACGCCCAAGCAAACCCAGCTTTCTTTGTCACGAAAGGCTATTATTATTTCGTTGGCTAAAGAAACCCAGTCTATTGGTTAAATAGCAGAACAAATACATTTTAACGAAAGCTCAGTACGACTTTTTTCAAAAATATATTGCAAAAAAGAGAGAAAGAAAGGTTCAGAAGAAAAAGGTGCACTAGCTTAAGAGAAGACCGTGCTATATTAAGAACAAGTTTACAAGACCGATTTACAAACGCAACTGAGTTGAAATCAAGCTAGCAGCAATCATTTAGTAATGATATTTCAACTATAACAGTTCAAAGTCGGTTTCAAATCATATTTGATATCTTATTAACTTATATACTGTCAGCGTCAAAAGAAAGTGTACACCTTTTTCTCATATATTTCAGTCTAAAAATAATTAATTTTTTTCAAATCAAACATCATTTATAAATGATTAAATGTTGTTCTTACAAAAACTTAACAGCAAACCCAAAAAAACTCCACAAGTAAAAAACAACACAAACAGAACCAAATATACTCAGTATTTCACGCGTCAAAACAAAGTGTACAGTTACGGTAATAGCATCCCGCATATTTATTTTACCTAAAAAACTGTACCGTTATCAATAGCTTTTTCTTTGTAACTGCTTCATTCTAATGTTATTTAATATCCTTGAGCAGATAGAATATTATTTGCATTTGAAAATTAGCTGAGAACATGACAATGGGTCAGCAAACTTCCCTTGATGTAGTACAAGTAAGGAAGAGCTAAGTTCGGGTTCGACCGAACATTTCATACTCTTGCAACTTGCTACGATCAAAGACAAGAGAATACCTTTAAATGCATTAGGTTTGTTAGAACAACGAAAATCAAAATATGTATTACGTTTGGGTGATTTGTGAACCAATTTCAATTTCAATTTTCGGCATTAAGCTATAGTACATACATATATTCAATATTTACGTCCAGTGAATTTCGCTAAGGTATCTTACTTATTCGCCGATATATGCGATATAATGTCAGTCGGTAGTTCGAAAATCTTTTTATTAGGTAGATGGGGGCTAAAGGAATTATTGACCCGATATAACCCAATTTTGACATACAGGCATATTATTACCAGAAAAGGATTTTCTTCGTATTTCTATAACATATCGTACAGATTGACCGATATTTTCCATAAAATGTCAACTATAAGCACTGGGGTCCACATATTCAATATATGGAAGGTTGAATAGTTTTAGTCCGACTTAAACAATTTTCGCTAATAAAGTCGCGCACCTGAAAGGCACTATTCCTGCAATGTTTTATCCCAAAACATTCATTGGTGCTTGATTTGCATACTGAAAAGTGAAAGAATCAGATGGAATTTAAAATTATGTCACATGGGGAATGTGCGTGACTGTGGTTCGATTTCGGCCATTTTCGGACTGAACCATACAATGTCAAGAAAATACTACATTCTAAATTTGGCCGATATCGGTCTCGTAGGTCCCGAGATATGGGTTTTCACCGAAATGTGGGAGGTTACACGCCCATCGTCAAATTTTGAACCCGACTCCTATAAAGGCTTCCTGTATCATCCTAGGTGTAAAAGTTAATGTCTCTGGCGTATTTATTTATTGATTTATCGCGCTTTTAGTAGTTTTAAACAGAACCCTTATTATGGGAAGTGGGCGGTGATCACCTGATTTCATCCATTTTTACAGTATCGGTAGGGGTGCTTAAGGGATTTGTATTGAGCGAATTTGGTTGTTGCACCTTAAGTGGTTTAGGAGATATGTACATTAAGCCCATTAGAGGGCGGGGCCAAGCCCACTTTTTTTCATTTCTAGCCCACAGGTGCCTCTTGCTACTATAATCTTCTATGCCAAATTACAGATTTTTATCTTAATTAAGTACTTAATTATGGCACTTTATAGATTTTCGTTTAATGTCGTTTTGTGGGCGTAGAACTGGTATACTAAGTTTCATTAGGATATCTAAATTAGCATATCAATTTCGATTAGTTATAGGTGACACAAACTACCGCTAAATGAACAAAACTATTTTACTCTGTAGCAAGTTTTTCTAGCACCTGAAGGAATTTTTCGGGTTTTTATTCTTGTAAGTTGCAAGAGTATAAAATGTTCGATTACATCCGATTTTAGTCCTTTCTTACTTGTTTTGGATTGCTGTTACTTTTTTGTAAGAACAATATTTAATCATTTTTAATTGATAATTCAAGAAAATTCGCTAAAAATGAAAGCCAAAGGAGATACTCTTGCTCTTACAAAACCATTGCACGGTGTACAAATTGCAAAGTTTTCCACTCCGTGCAGTGACACATCAACAAAACACACGCAAAATAAATATGAATAAATAAATAAATATAAATACGAAATGTCAGCAATTATTATTAAAACATCATTGCCATTATAATTAACTTTTAATTATTATTTGTAACCAAAAGTTATTGCACGTTTTTGTAGTCAAAAAATATACCTGAAATAAATAAATTGTTTACACTGGGTGGAATTTTAAATTTAAATCTTGAAGTGTATGTTTGGTTTATTTATTGCACTCTCCTCAATCTGTAACTCACGAAATGTTGATGGTACACTCTGCGATCAAATTAATTCCATTTTGCGTTCACACTTCTCACAAACATTGTTACAGCGCCCCTCCGTTCCATACTCAACATAGTGCTAAATATAGAAAGTAGAAAAGTGCAGTAAAGAAGGCAACCAGCGAATATAATATTATTATTTAAAAAAACACTTACCGTAAAAATGGCTCTCCTAAGAACGCTTGAAGTGTGTCATTAATGTCACCATCGTATCCACCAAGTACTTCCAACCTGTAGTCATTATCTGCACCAGCCACGCTGAATCTTTTGTAACGCATGTAATGTGTGTGCGTTTTTTTCCAATGATCGACATTGTGTATCAAAATCAACAATTCATGCTCTCCACTTTCTATAGTTATTTCATGCAAACGCTTTAGGCCGAGGAAGTACTCCCTCACTTTCTCACTATTCGTGAAACCACCAAAGCCATTTATAAATTCATTTGTACTCTTTTCATTTAAATTGCGATGATCTGCATCTAAAGTGGCAAAGAGTATCCAGCCATCTCCATATTGATTACTCTCACATTGCACTGTGATTGGTAACACTTTAGCGTTGTTGTTTTTTATACCAATGGCTGGGATTTTACAGGTAAAATGTGAATGGGTCAATATGTCAATTGTGTCAACAGTCTCCCGTTTACTGCGTCCCTTTACTAAGTTTGGGTTTACACCAAGCAACACTTTTAACTCATCAATATCATTTACTATCCCTTCACAAAAGTTATCATTTTGCTCCGCCAGATCTACCAATTCGGAACTACAAAATTTATTGCATTTATAATTATGCTACTGTACTTATTACTGTTTCTTATTTGCACTTTTATAAATGCTCAGGTCTGCATATTTATACTTACACTTTTTTATTGAAACTCTGCGCCTCAGCTGTACAGCTTAGTTCCGCATTCATGTCCAAAGGTTTTGAATTGATCTGTATATTATTCAAATTATTGTCGTATGTTGACATAAAACAAATCATTGTTGTAAAGAAATTTTCTGGGCACATGATCAATATGATCGTAAGTTGGTCCTTACTGTTGAAATACCGTCGCCAAACTAAATAATTACTTTGCGTAGATTTTCGCAAATATTTAAATATCAATATATGCTACGCTTGATTATTATGGTGGTCCTTAGGACATCTCGTGGTTCTACTTGTATTAATAGTGATCTAATTCAGAGAGAAAAACTTGACAGATTGTAGTGTTAAAAAATTAGGTTTTGCGGATAATATCCACTATTTACTCTATAATCCCAAAGATATTTTAATCAAAATGTAATACTATAGATTCAGTCTTATAATAACATTTTAAAATATTATATGTAGATATTACAATTATTCACAAATAAGACCTGCCCTAATATATATACATTGGTATATGTACAATATATACAATTGTCTCTCCCTAAATTTTACTGATTGTGTATAAATATTCGAACAGGCCATTCTCTTTTAAACGTGGGTTAATATGATTCACCGGTAATTAGTATGAGCGTTATTAAATACATGAATAGTGTAAAAGATAAGGAAGATCAAATTTCGGCTCCATGTGCACGAATTAAACTTCCACAATTTGCGAAAATTAAAACCGGGAATTATTTTCAATTTTTGGTAAAACTTGATATTAAAAGATGTTGCATATGAATTAAACAATTATTGTCATCTGGATAAGTGTCGAAAATCTCAATATTGTGTATATTGAGACTAGATGAAAGTCTGAATTAACTTTGATGAAATTGCTTTGAGATTTACATCATATTTCTATATTCTACTCATGGATTGATTTCAACAACGAATTACAGTATATCTAAGAAAATATGGTTAATTAATACCATTAGGATATCTTATATATTGACCGATATATAAGTTAAATAATTTTTAGATTTATGTCTCTTTATAGTTAGGAAAAAATTTCTGCTTAAATTCACAAATATATCATACAAATTGCCCAATATTTTATTATTCATACTATTTCTATATGTATTCAGACCCCCAACTCATGAGCATATTTGCAACGAGCTCAATACTTTCCACCATCTCTCACTTGAAACACCCTCAAAAACTTTGCGAAATAAATGTTTTGCGGCTGCACAAATTCAAATTTGATAACACTTAATTTGCTGATAACGTAAGTATATACAATATTTTATTATACTTTGTGTATGTATTTCTTATTCCTGGAATATGAAACACCTAACATATACATACATATATATATACAGCCACATAAGTATGTTGCTATATTTAATAAGAGTCCCATCTTCTTTTGTTTATTATCACTTTTGTGATGGATTCAAAGAAAGTTCAAACACGAAGTTCAAATGATTTGTAAAAAACTTGCTTTACCCGAAACAATAATCAACACAATATTTATTTATTTATTTATTTAACAGAAAGATAATTATATAACATTTTAAAGGCACTAGCAACGAAGGCTATGGTCCTGAATAAACACAATAATTTTTTGATATATTTCAATAAAATACAGAAAATTGTAGTTATCGTACAAATAGTACACATGTATTTAGTTAAATATAGATTTCTTCATTTTTTGCTTAGTTATTATTTTATCATTTAATATTTTATGTTTGTTTATAAAGTATAATAATCTTACAGATTTGGATAAATCATTTAACCTTTTTTCGCAAAAATATTTTCCAACTTTTAACTGTAATGTTTTTTTACAAATTCTTTCAGAGAACCTTCTGTCATACTACTACGTGAGCGCGTAATGTTTAACATTTTACCATCAAATTGAAATTTAGAAATATAACGGAAATGTTCCATGTCATCAGCATCAAAGTAAACAAACAGCACATCAAATGATTTTTCGCGAACGAGCTGCAGAAAGTTATTTGTACCAATAAAGAAGTCAGTATCACTATCGATGCATTTTTTATTGCAAGGAATTCCGGTTAAGAACTTTTGATATAGATCATGTGTTACAACCATGTGGCCACGCCCTATTAACAATAAATGTTTTCCGTATCTTTTGTCCTCACAAAACAGTTTTCCAAAGGATGTATCTTCGCATTCATAGGGTTTTGCTGGTTCGATTTTCCTATTCTGTTGACCGTATCGTAAATGTAATATTTTCTCGCCAACCGTGTCTAGTTTATCCGTAGTATTCATAAATAGTTCTTCTGCACTTTGCATGCTGTATAAGAGTGTATGCATTGGTGGACATTTATAATTATATCTAAGCTTCAGGTTTAATATATTTCTACTTACTTATTTGAAGCGTCTTTAAATTCTCGACAAATTTGCTTATTAAAAACGAAAAATGATACAAGTAAATACATATATGTACATATACGTAAATACTAGCAAAAAACTAGATAAATTATCCTATACCTTTTGATTATCAATATGATTGACTTCCTTTGATGAAAGTAGATATGTCATCGCTATAAATGCTCGTTGCAATGATATGGCTTGTGGCATTTTATTGCATTAATTTACTTGTACTCGAATCACAACTCAAGTGATACTGTGCACTTCCACTTTATAATTCAACTGAAATATTATACAATCTCACACTTAGACCCGGCATATACGCACATACATACATAAATAAATATTTTATAATCAAGAGATTGCTGATTACTGAGAGAAAGATTAGCTCCAACACATTAGGTGCAAAAGGTCATGCCATACAGAGTACAGATGAATAAAACTAATAATTCATAATGCAAAATGGGGCGAGAAGAAGCTTTCTGCATTTACTCTCGGTATTAACCTGAAAGGAACATATGTACATATTTCCACACTATTTGATTAAGATTACTCAATATTCGCCTAGCGACCACTAGAACAACGATAATCATTGTATGCAGTATAAGGGGGCTAAGGTAAGATAAGTATCTAACAGATTAAGAGATATATTTGGTAAAATGTCAGTCACAAGCGACTTCAGTGCTTATTCTCATATTCGGTACCTGGAGGAAAAATGTTATATTAAAATTTTACATGAGCCACACCTTCAAGTTTCTAGATAATAATGAACCAAATGTGAAATTTGTCTAGCGTTTGCTGTGCATCGCTTATTAATCAATTTTTAAACCTAATTACATGAACCCTGCCGTAATGACTCTCGAGTTATCGCACTTCTAGTAGTTTCGAACATAGCGTCGTATGAGAGGTGGTTAATTCTTACACTTACACTTAATAGTTATTAGCCGATTTCAGCCATTTTGACACTGTATGATAAAGAGCCAAAGAAAAAAGGATTCCACCAATTTGGGTTGCTATAGCTTTGGAAGTTTGATATGTACAAAAATGTATTAGAAGGAAAACCGCACACTGTTCAAATTGTTCTAAGCTGGAGATTGCTGCAGATGTGATCGTCTGTGAACATTTTCTCAGTTAGAGCACTTAAGGACGGTCAGAGAAGTATGTAGCCTCACCTATTGATGTCGGTTTAATAACAACAAAAATAAAATTTGTATACTCTCTCGCAAGTGACTACTCTCGAAATTTCAGCCGAATTATACATATACGTTTGGTTGACTTCATACGTAATGACGTAAAGTGAGCTAAAAGTATTCAGGGAATTTTGATAACTGAAATATGCAATTTTTAATTTTAACGACCGAGAAGCTGATACATACAAAGATCCCTCAGTCTCTCATTTTCTTTATAAGTAAAATTAATTCGTAAGTAAAACTAATTTCTATAAACGAATTCAAGGAGTACGTATAACTTAAACTGTAACGGTGTTTAACATAATGGGTTATTCAAAATGTGTACACACATATTATATAATTACGAAACTTGGTAGACGAATTGAAATAACCAGGTCTTCCTGAAGATGAATGAAGATCGTAGTATTTTAAAATCAAAAGCAGATTAGACAGCTGACATAACAATTTATTTAACATTTCCAGCTGCATGCATTCAGAAATACTACGCATATTTAAAGAATGGAACGTCATGTAGTGATGTTTTTCGTAAATAAATAGTGACGGCAGTATTCGTACTTGAATTCAAATCAAATCTCAATTTCTCATTGACCGCTTCAGCATGAGCCAATAAGCCAATAGATTTATCAGCACGATTGGTTCTATGCTGTCCCAGCTGTTTCACCTTGTTATTGGCATCAAATGCCACAGTTTGGTAATGATCATACCATTGCTTATTATTTTTATCGGTCTCCACTATAAGCAATTCATACAGTTGGTTATCGGTAATGGCACGCAATTTTTCAAAGCCAATAAAATATTCGCCATGAGTTTCGCCCATACCATTTTGTTGTGCATCATTTGTTATTTTATAACGAACAAGAGCGTTAGTGACTTTGTGATGAGCGATTAATATCCAATTGTTACCATATTCGTTGTTTACACACAACACTGATAAAAAACTGTGTGATTGCGGTAAGTTTACAAGGAATTCTCCGACTTTAGAACAATCGACCGGATTGGGGGTGCTAAGTAGTCATAAAAGATTATATTTGAAAAGTTATTACAACTTGTCATTGTTATATATACACATTTAATTATTATTAATACCTTAAACTTGTTTTTACAGCTTGTAGATCGGTAGCAATGCTTTCCAGTCTTTTTTTTGTTTTCATTTGATTGTTTAGGGCTTCATTAACTCTTCATAAAGAAATGGTACGTAAAAAAATTTTATAGCTTTTTGTGCATACACATATGGTACATATATTATATATGATAATTTTATTAAATACTTGTACATACTCGTGACGCAGATTCTTCATTTCTGTAACGTTGCAGTTTTGCCATGCATTCTATTACCAGAAAGAAAATAAGAAAAAAAAACGAATTCAAATTCTCAACTTTCATATATTTATGATACATATAAATACATAGGTATATACGCACATTATCTCCACCAATACGCATTAATGACGACACGTTAACATCTCTCGAATTCAACTGTATATAATTTCCTGGAGTAGTGAACAAAACACTTAATGCCATCAGGAGTTTATCAATAACAATAGGCTCCATATTTATATTATTTATTTTATAACCAGCAGTAAAAATAGAAATTCTTTTAAACACAGCGACAGTACGAATCTGACTGAGGCGAATGAAAAGATTATACATGCTGATTGAGTTGCTTAACGAGAAAGACAAGAACACATGCCCACTAGGAATGTATTTTAACTACTAATTAAACAAAATTAACATTAGACCTTTTAATAAATAAAACTATTATCGACTATTATTAAGGTTGTTTATCCTACCTTTGTCGTAGCCTTCTCATATAGTTTAAGTCTCTACTCCTTAACTTATAAGAAATAAATGTAAAAAGTAGTAAATAAAGAACGGTAAAGTTCGGGCGCAACCGCACATTATATACTCTTGCTATTTGTAAAATCTAATAGTGGAGAAATATTTAATAATAGGGGGGCTTGGGTGATGGGGCTTGGGTGGTGCATGATCTGATCAAGATATTTTACATCATGGTGATACAATAACTTATAAGGCTACAAAAGAAAAACAAACAAATAAGAAAGGGCCAAGTTCGGTTGTAACCGAATATTTTATACCCTTGCAACATTCAAAGATCAGAATAGGAAAAATACTATCAGGCGTTAAGAAAACTTTAGATTAAAACGTGTTGCGTTATCTCACACATTGACCGATATTTTCGGTAAAATGTCAACTATAAGCACTGGGGTTCCACACATTCGGAACCTAGGGGCTTGCAGAGTTTTGATTCGATTTGCACAATTTTTGGTCATAAGGTGGCACATTTAAGACGGACTATTCGGGCAAAGTTTTATCTCGATATATTAATTGATGTTTTATTTATATACTGGAATGTGAAAGAATCAGACGGAATTTAAAATTGTATTACATGCGAAGTAGACGTCTTTATCCTGATCGCTTTTTTTGTATACCTATGCGAAACAATTAGAGTGAGAAACAAAAGAGTAAAGGATACAGCAAATAGGGCAGCAGTTCGTGGCTTAGTTCGACCACTATAGCCATGGCAACGGCGGAAATGTAAGCCGATGCATTATCATGATGGAAGACGAGGCTTTCCTGAAACCTGGATGTTGCTGATTAAACACTGACACAAGGCCACATTGAAACTCGTTTTACCAATTTTTGACTATCGCCATCGAAGAAGAACAGTCGCTGCCGATTCCCACAACAGCCGATTCTACGTTACCGGAATTGACCCGAATTTCATCCAGCCAAGGGCTGTTATTTCGGCGATCTAACCCTGTTTGGATCGGTAAGTGTTAGTCTAAGTCTGTCGTCACTAGAGCAACACCTAACAACAGGGTTACTCTGTATCCTCTTGACCCATGCTGGCATCGAGTCCAACCCGGGCCCCGAGGAATTCTTTTGCTGCGTATGCGCTAAAAGGCTCCATCCAAACTCCAAACTCGGTTAGGTGCAATACATGCAATGGATGGAGCCATCTTAAGGGGGTATTCTGGTCTAGAGGCATGATTTTTAAGTCTTTTTTAAAGTGCTGTATAAAGAAGGCAATTAATATTTTTACTATACATTTTTTTATAAGTTATTTATTAACCTTTTAAGAGTACAGAAAAAATTAGAAAATTTTTTTTTTTCAAAATCCAAAATTTTAGCAGCCGATTTCGGGGGTCTCGAAAAATTGGCAGGTGGCCATACCCATGATTTCATCCATTCCAGTGATCTAAAATGAAAAAAATAAAAAGATTATTAATCTACATGAATTTCGCAAGGTCATGAACTAGGGACAAGTTAAAATAAAATGTCGACTGTTTGAAAAAAAAACATCATTTTTGGACCCTTTTTTTTGACTTTCTCAAATTTTGGGGATGGCTGAGAGGAGTCTATGAGGAAGTTTCCCTGAAAATTTCAAGTCAATCGGTCCAGTAGAACTCGAGATATCATGGGTATCAGGTTGAAAAAGACAGTTTCGAGAAAAACGCGTTTCAAGTTTTGCCCGCCGTTCGCGTCAAGTTATTCGCAGTTTAAGTCATGAAATTATATTTTATACTTACATTTATCTAATCTGCCATTCCTGCTTCATACATCGGGCCTTCCTCGACTTCATAAAAACAGAACGGTCGATTCGGGCGTTGTCTCGTCTCACGGGAAATGAATGAGCCTCTGTACCAATTTTAATTCCCATCAAAGTCATCATCTTTAAAATGGGAATAAAACCTTCATTAAAAATACAAACAGCAATAAATGTGGCTATTTCAATTATCTGAGCTCCAGAATGAATATGCTTAGGCGCAAAAGTCTAAATCAATGAATTGAGTGATTCATTATTATTCTGCGTTTCTGAGCCTAAACATCGAGTCAATAATTCATCCGATGATAAACTGTCGTAAATAGGTTTGATAACTGTCAAAACGTTATCAGCCAGAGGTATAGTTTCGTGCACAAAATCTTCTATTGTACTTTCAGATGCAGATTGTTGCCACTTACTCCAACTGTCTGTACCAGGTGGGCAATACATATGTTGTGGGTCTTCATTACTAGAACTATTATGATAATAAGTGGCCCAAACTGCATCTTTCATATCGTTCACAGAGTCAGGGTGTCAGCGGATCGCTAAACCATAATATAAAGACAATTTATTGATCACTTTTATTTGCCTTCACCTTTTCCACCGACCCCTTTATTGTCTTTCTTCGCTTTCCTTAGCCTAGCACCCATTCTTTTTTGTACATGTCCTACACATTCTTTTTTTTGTACCAACGGATCACCATCGCAAGGATCCATATCAAGTATACCCTTAAAAGTCTTAGTGTCACCATCTCCGATGTATTTCACGTATTTTACGCCGTGTTTTTCAACAGATCGACAGAACAACTCAACAGTAGCACCTACTTCCTTTTTACCAGCACTTCCCCTATGATTAATAGTACAGGACTCTTCATGCTCTTCATACCAGTCGTTATAAGCAGAAATATTCGAATTTTTTTATTTTTCCTAAAATTACAACCTTGACAATAACTGGATTTCACAATCGTATCAACAACTTTCTTACAATTTTTAGCTACTAGTGTAGTAACTCCAAATAAAGAGAGATAAACCCTCTTTTTTCCCAGATCCCATCGCCAGAAACTGTAATTTCTGTTGGACTAGCATTAGAATCGCACTCAGATATTAAATCTTTTTCTTCTTTTGCAGCTTTGGAAATAATTAGATTATAAACTGAAGACGCGGCTTTATGAATGTTTTTGACGCAAGCGTAGTAGGTACAGATTGATATTCGTTGACAAATATCCATCAGACTGCAAAAGATATTTATTCCTTCCCTAAAAACTAACAAAAGTCGAATAGCAAATATCATTGTTCGGTTTACTTCGAATGATTTTTCAATAAATGGGCATGATAATAAATACCTTACACTTGGGCAATTACATTGCAATGCTATTTTAAATCCTAGTCCGCGGTGAGCCGTTCGAGAGAATTTAATTTATTTCATGCAAGAAACACACAACATCATTGAAGAAATTGCTGAAAAAACTGTAAAAAACTCGAGGACACAGTAGCCGTAGTTATTGTCTATAATAACTTCTTCATCATTACTTTTAAGTAATTTTGCGGCTGATGAACTTGTAAAAGTCGTGTCCTCCTTCTCCACTGTGTGTCAATTGCCGTGAAAGCGCCGCTTTTTGGATCTGTCAGGATGCGTCACTTTTCGGGCTGAGGATTTTTTATCCATATTTTCAGTTAACTAATTAAACAATCACTCACAATATTTTTATTGCACTCACTACACAAGTCCAGTGTTTTAGAGGTTAGAATAACACTGTTGTCAGCAGCTGAATCTCAGGGAATACTAAATAGAAAAGATACAAGTCACCTTGTACTTATACACGCATATACATATATATATTTACTATAAATATATATTGTAAATATATATATAATAGAACAAAAGGTTTAAAACGGAGAAATATGGGTTCAGGTAGACGGAGAGTCCCTACCGTCTATTGTACGATTCTATCCGGCCGAACCAGTTTGAATGTTGCGCCAGCAAAATGCCTATATCTCCGAAAATAATTCGAATTTTGACAGTTGAGTGGCCAAGAAAGGACCTCTACGTCCCTAAGGAGCTCTAGGCAGCAGGACTCCCAATCTGACCAACCTCCCCTCTACCTTCATCCCGCTCCAAACTCCGTACGGGAACCACTCAGCAACTCCTGGTTCCTCGCACAGTCTGTCCCGTGTGTCAGGCCGTAATACACCGGAACGTCACATCAGTCAAGTGCAATTCTTGCACTGGCTGGTGTCACTTTCTGTCGTGTTCCGGACTGCGCACCACATGTGAGTGGAGTGCGTCATATGTTGCCCCATGCTGTAGGAGTCTGCCCCCGCAATCCCATCAAGTGGCGTCGCCAAACAACACCACAGTGCGACAACCGCCCATGCGGGTATTACAGCTATAACAACCACCACCTACACGTACCTCCCTCACCCCCAGGATCACGACCGGACACCCGCGACAAACCCGAATCCTACAGTTTAACTGCAACGGACTCCAGAGCAAGATCGAGGAGATAGTTGCATATATGAGCCGAGAACGTGTATCGATAGCTGCGGTCCAAGAAACCAAGCTAAACAGCCGCTCAGATGTTCTGAGTTGCGCAGCTTTCAACGTTTTGCGTAAGGATCGCGAGCGAGATAATGGTGGAGGCCTAGCCTTAATAATGCACAACACCGTGCAATAACGTTTAATCGATGGGGACATCGACCGCAGGGAAATTATCCTTGAATGTCAGGGTATAGCTGTCCGGTCAGGCGATGTCGAGCTCGACATATTTAATATATACATCCCCCCAGTTGCATGTTGCCCAACGGGATATCACCCGAACATAGGTGCGCTGCTTCATGGTGAAAACCGTTTGGTGCTAGGCGATCTGTGGCATTCCTGCCTGTTAAACGATCGTAGGGGGATGGAGCTGGCGGAACAGATTGACGATTCGACATTCTGCACAATGAATGACGAAGCCCCCACCAGAATTATGGGCACTTGTAATAGCTCGCTCGATATTACCATCGCTAGCGGTGGTCTGATAAATAGCATAACCTGGCGACCTATGCTAACTCTCGCATCAGACCATCTGCCCATAATTATCTCGATCGAGAAACTTCCCTACTTTATTTCTGTGGACAACCGCACCTTCATTAACTTTAATAAAGCTAACTGGGTCGGCTTCACAGAATTTACTGAGAGTACCTTCAACGCACTACCCATTCCTACGGACGTCATCGTTGGCGAGCGTCAATTCCGCAAGGTGATCGCTGCTGCTACCGCTCGCTTCATACCGGCTGGAAGAATCGCGGAACTCCGCCCAAATTTCTCCGCCGAAGCAGCTGTAATAGCAAACGAGCGCGACACCTTACGCCATGCCGATCCCTGTGATCCCTGAATAAGGAATCTTAATTTGGAGACTCAGCAAATGGTAAACCAACATAAGCGGACCAAATGGGTGGAGCACCTGAAGTCCTGTAATCTCTCCACCGGTGTGAGTAAGCTTTGGAATACTGTACAACTCGCAAAAAGGAGTTCTATGCGAAAAAGTAATATTGTCATAGAGGATATAACATAATCCTTAACATCAATGCTCTCTAACGGATATTAATACTGTTACTTTTGAAGAAAAGTACCGTTTCGTTTTTTCCATTTGCTATTTACTTCATATTTGGCAAATAAAATTCAAACGCGTTTAGTGAGTTGTGCTTAAATTGTGGAAAAGGATAAATTATAAAAGTAATTATTCAAGTTTTTATTTTAAAAATGAGTGGAATTTCAACTGGTAAGTTAATAAAATTTTTAAATATTTTTTTAAATATTTATTAATAATCATATCTAGATATTGATGAAGCCGTGGCGTGATGCGCAGAACTAATGTTCGGACAGTGGCAGAGTTGAAAGAAATGTGGAATGTGAGGAAGGTTTTCCCAACATTTGAAACAAAGGAGAGCTGCATAGCCTTTGCTGAAGAGCAAGGGCTCATATTAAAGAAAAGGCTTTGCAGGATGCATAAGATCCCGATGGTATTATCAATGGCGGAGACTAGTATCGTCGGCACATTTAAATGCCGAAAAGGATCGTGCCGTACACGTTCAGCAATATCTAGGTCTAAGGGTACTTGGTTCGAGAACGCCAAAGTACCCTTAAACCAGATATTTTACCTTATGTTTTGTTTTTCGTCGCATTGGTCGCATGAGGAGGTGCGTAAAAATAGCTTTGTCAGAGAACCGATTTTATCCAGCGCTACCATATGCGACTGGTACAACTACTGCCGAGAAGCTGTAGTATTATACCAAGTGGACCATCAGGAGAAGTTGGGTAAAATTGGTGGCCCTGGGAAAAAGGTACAAATTGACGAAAGCAAATTTGGAAAGAGGAAATACAACAAAGGTAATATTAAAAATAAACAATAATACATAATTTTATATATTTTTCTTATTTCAGGCAGGAGGGTGGAAGGTCACTGGGTGTTGGGAATGGTGGAAGATGACAGTGAGGACTTGCGGTTGGAGGTATGTCCTGACAATGTCAGGTCTGCTGAGGTGCTCATACCCCTGATTGAAAAACACGATGCGTTGGGCACAATCATTTGTACCGATTGTTGGAAGGCGTATGATTGCTTATCAACTCACGGGTATGAGCACCGTCGGGTAAACCATCGCGATCCTGACAATCCGTTCGTTGCGGAAGACGGGACGCATACCCAACGAATTGAATCCCAGTGGCGGGTAATGAAAAGATTTTTCTCAAAGGATAATTACAACAATCCAGAAAACTTTTCGGATCTTATCATTGAATATGTGTGGCGAAAAAATATTGCAAATAAGCATAAAGATCCTTTTATGAAATTAATTAAAGCAATAATACACACTTACAAACCATAAAAAAAAATCTTTTTATTTTATTGAAATAATTTCTTAACTTTTTATTTTTCTAGGTTTTGGATTCCTGTAATGGGGGAATAATCTGTTTTCATTTCTTTCAGTTCACTTACAAAAGATGTCGATAAGGTAACACTGGTTATTTGACATTTTGCAAGCATCTTGTTATTGTGAAAATCACAAAAATTGAAGAATAATTAAAATAAAGCTATTTTTTATGATATAATATAAAAAAATGTGTAAAAACGAATTAGTGAAGTGTTCTAAAACAAAAAAATACGTCCTTTAAATAGTCGAAATTTTGAACTTTAAACAAAAATATCTCGAAAACTATAAGTTTCCCGCGGCTATATTCTTGATCTGGAGGATCTCCTCTATCCGCCCATACCCATTTTATCCCCGAAAGCAAAGATACTAAAGTTTTCCCGCTATTTTAGCCGGCAGTTTACACTGCACCCTTCGACCGACAAGGCCAAACGATGTGTTACCTGACGGCTGCGCAAAATGCCAAAAGACTGTGCACCACTTACTTTCACCGAAGAGGAGGTTCAGAGTGTCCTCCAAAAGGCGAAATCGTCTAAATCCGTCTGCCCTGACGGAATTAGCATGCTGATGCTAAAACATCTAGGCTCAACGGGAGTAAACTATCTCACCAAGGTCCTCCACTCTTCAAATACCCGATGTGTGGAAAGTCGGAAGAGTGGTCCCACTACTGAAACCTGGGAAACCCGCCAACAAAGGGGAGTCTTATCGCCCGATAACTCTCCTTTCCCCAGTAGTGAAGACACTTGAGGCCTTGTTACTCCCGTCATTCACTCACCATCTGAGTCTAGCAGACCATCAGCATGGCTTCCGGAAAGTGCACAGCACCATCACAGCACTTAGCGTCATAAACGCCCAGATAGATCATGGCCTGAACAAGAAGCCACCCTGCGAGAGGACGATCCTCGTAGCGTTGGACTTGTCAAAAGCTTTTGACACAGTCACTCACACAACGCTACTTGAGGAGCTAGAACAATCAACGCTCCCTCCAGGGCTGAAGCAGTGGACTATGAACTACCTGAGCGGTCGGCATTCATCCGTACTGTTTCGAGGTCAAAACTTCAAACTTAGAAAAATTAAACAGGGGGTTCCGCAGGGCGGTGTCCTCTCCCCACTACTGTTTAATTTCTATATTTCGAAACTCCCCCAGCCACCAGCGGGACTTTCAGTGACCTCGTACGCTGATGACTGCACGATATTGACGTCGGGCAATGGAATCGATGGCGTGTGCTCAAAAGTAAACAGCTACCTCTTCGATATTTCTCGCTTCTTCTCTGCAAGGAGTACAGAATGGACCTGAATATTTCTCGATGGCACAAAAATTCCGACAGTTAATAACCCTAAAATTTTAGGCGTCACATTGGACAGTCTGTGCTCCTTCACTCCTCACACGACCGCGATAACTGCCAAAGTACAGAGCCGCAACAAAATCCTCAAGTCGCTTGCCGGCAGCTCTTGGGAAAAAGACAAAGAAACGTTGTTGGCAACTTACACTACTACGCATCACCAATTTAGTCGCCTGGATGTAGTGCAACGCAGACGAGAAGCTTCAGACTTGTTAAAACACTGCACTCCGGACGGAGTGCCTCTTGATGTCCCCAATTGAGCTTCTCTCAAAGCAGTTTCTGCTGGGGCGTTTTCGCAGAAATCAACCCTGCAGTTGCCTGCTTGAAGCGGAACCGCCTTCTAGGAATATCAAGAGGTCATTCCTTGATTACGTCGACGACATCAGACCGGACTTCGGACGCAACGAACAAACCACCACCTATAGCAGACGTAGAGCTCGAGTTGCCCCGCAAAACCCCACAAAAAAGTGACCCTCGCGGAACTTCGTTCTGGATATTGTAGCAAGTTAAACTTCTACTTATCCAGAATAGATCCCGACATACCAAACATATGTCCTGAGTGCAATGAGGCCCCGCATGATACTAACCACCTCTTTGCATGCCCAACAAACCCAACTCATCTAACACCCTTTTCCCTATGGTCCGACCCCTTCGAAATAGACCGTTTCTTGAACCTCCCGTTAGATGACCTTGACGACAACCAAACTATTACTTACCATCTAAACGGGGACTATATAACAGTTACAACAACAACAACAGTCGCTGCATAAAACACTCGAACGTTTTTTGCTTTCACTGCGCGATTTGCCTTCAACAAGAATCGAACTACTGAATCAAGAAGTACTGAATTGATTTTATCACAACATAATATGGAAATGAATAATACTTACTAATTGACCGATATTTTCGATATCAAGTTTGACATAAACGCAAAGATCCTCATTCGGTATTAGAAGGCAAAACTTCGATTACAACAAATTTTTAGATGAGACTTTCCATAATTATAAGAATATGATTTAATGAAAATGATATCATATGTCAAATATGCGTGGATTTATTTAGTCTGATTTCGCTCAATTTCAAGCCAAAACCAATTTTTACTTTGCGCCCTAGCTCATTTCCGATGGGCTTCTAGGATAAGTCTACCTCCATACACTAATCGTTTAAAACTTATAAATCTACCTACACTTTCTAGTCGTAGGGAAATGCTTGATATAAAATTCTTAGTAAAAAACTTGAATGGAAAAGTTTTCAGTTCTTTTCTCCTGTCTTAAAATAATTTTAATATCCCGGTTTGCTATTCGAGGCACTATAGACCCTTACTATTAAAATCTTATTGATCAAATTTCTTAACTAAGCGAACCATTCCACCGTATTTGTCATGATATTAATTCTCATTCCTGCACATTTGAATTATCTGACGCACTTTTCAAGATTAAAAAGACTATATTGATTTCTCTAAACTATAAAAACGTAACAATTGATAATATCGTAACTGAAAATCTTAGCTGTTGAAATTTTTGTTTGCATAGCTGTTTTAGATCTCAACGCTTTAAAAACTGTCTTGCCTCTTCTTAGCTCGGCTATTTCCGCACGTATGTGGATTGCGCCCCTCGCCTAGGTTGGGCGGGAGTAGGGTAATCGTTGGGTTATTATTATTATTAGAGAGCGAAACCATGTCCACTCTACAAGTATAATATATATAATATAATATAAGGAATAAAGATATTTTTCCCGTTCCTCAGATATACTACTGTGATCAAAAGGTATGGTGAAATTTTAATTTAAAACTCTCGCACATCAGGAAGGCAGTTAACGTTTTTTTCTAGGTTGACAGGACTGTCTATAACAATTGTCAAGTGTCTGTTTGCCAAAAGGTTTAACTATCTTTGAATTACATGAGTTTTTGTAAACATCGATAAAGGAATTTCTTGATTTTTACAATAGTTGATTTTGTTGAGCACAGAACTTGACTAAAATTTTTATTACGGAACTAATATGTGTCCGTACAAAAACACGTTGAAAATATTGCGAAAGGCTTTTGGTGATCAAATTATGGCACAGGCACGTTTATAAGTAATACAACGACTATAAACCTCTACCAACGAGGGTCATGCTAAAAAGAATCGAAGATATGGTTCCTTCAGCACGACAATGCACCATATCATACTTTATTGCTTGTTCGCTACTTTTTAGCCAAAAATTCGATGCAGATCGTGTTGCAATCACCGTTTTTGCCTGATTGGGCTCCGTGCGACTTCTGGCTATTCAGCAAACTCGAAAGCCCAACGTGAACGTCGTTTGAATACGATTAAGGAGATAAAAGCCGAATCGAAGAAGGTCTTGAAAGCTACACCCAGCAAAGACTATTTTGACTGTTTCGAGGCCTGGAAAAAGCGTTGGCAAAAGTTCGTTTTATTGGACGGATATTAATTTGAAGGACATGAAATTGAGTTAAAAGATTATTATTTCTTTATTCTTCCAATTGCATTAACAATTTATAAACAAATTCTACTTACTTTTTGATCGCGATCGTATATATAATATTAACTATATATTTTGCATGGACTGTCGTAAATGTAAGCCAATATTATTCCGTGGCGTAATATATGACGTGAGTGTCGAAACAAAATTTCTTACAACGTTATCACTGAGAATCTGTGATATGAGCTTCTCTCCAAAAGTTACGAGAAACGTACATTATTGCAAAGTGTTTCTTCTTTACTCGCTGGTAATAAATAAAATATAAAGATTTATTCTGCTTTTGTTTATTGATATTTATGACACAGTTAATCGGTTATGACACCGAGCTTACAATCCGCTCGTTCTGCACTCCTGGATTTATCATATTCAATGTTCGGCCTGTAGTGAATTTAGCAAAGCTCACCAAACTATCAAACTAATTTTGAACCATGTTTTTCAAAATACCAAAATTTATATATCGCACGATCTAATTATCCAACAATTATGAAGTTTATAACCATACCTTTTAAAATTTAGTTAACAAGGAACTCTTACGTAAATAAATAAGTTGTTATAACATAAGTACGTACTCGAATTATGACTATTACAGTGTATTCATATGTGGATCTTCACACACATTGCACGAATAGGTGTTCAAATTTAAAAATGCATAACGTAAAGTTTCATCCCACGCTTCCAATTTTGAATATCTCTTTTCACAGACAGTCTTTTGGTTTAATATCACTTAAACTTATTGTTATCGCTGAGTGTTGCCTCTCGTATACTTGGCAAAATGAAATCTTCAACCTTTGCGTTGAGCATTCTTTCTGGCGTCTGATGGTTCAACATGCTCATAACACCAACACCTCCCAATATACTGTATCTACATATAATACATACGTAAAGAAGTAGAGGTATAAAAAATTCTATTAAAACACTTACATGAGTTTAATATCGAGTTAATAATAACCTGATGATACTGCACATCAGGTACTCGCCCGCATATGGTACATATGCATGTGAATATTGACGCATTCGTGGATATTCCGGCGTCAGTTGCCATCTGTTGGCATTTACGCTCGAATTATAAGTAAAGATAAGTGCAAAATATTCTTAATAACAGTGGTTTTTAAAATAGAAAAAAATCATGCTATTTTTACTCTAAGATTTGAGTTTATATACTTTCTAAACGAAAAATAAGTCTTCTAATTTAACATATTTAGTAATATTATTTACGAACATGTATGCCAGCACCGATGGTCGCTTTTGGGCGACTCTTAATACAAAATTGTTAGTCAAACAAGTAAGGAAGGACTAAGTTCCTTCGTTGTTATAAAAACTTTAGATTAAAAAATGTTGCGAAACAATTCAACATTCATTATAAGATGAAATTGTGAATGGATTACAATTAAATTGGTGTATTTTATTAGGTTATATTATAGGTCATAGACTAATTTAGTTTTATTACTATATTTTACTTCCCGTCAGCTAAAATTTCATTGAATTCATCATCAAATGAGATATATGGGATTAAAATTAACTGAAGAAGCTAAATTCAATATAAAGAGTTTAGGTGAAAACGTCAAGCAGGCAATTCATTATATATAAGGGTTAGACCAATGTCTAGACCAATTTCTAAAATGCTCCCTGAGTTTCATTAAGGTACCTCACATACCGTCACCAACATATATGGAGTAAAATCAACCGGATGTTTGGAAATTCTGAGATTAGTAATATGGGGACCACGACAAGTTTACACCCAATTTTACTTATTTTAGGCACAAAGGTACACTGTTATTATAAAAATATGCTTTCTCTTTTTTTATAATAGAAATAATTCACATATATGGGTGTAAAGTCCCCGGACGTTCGAAAATCTTTATATAAGCTATATGGGGCTATAGGAAATATTGATCCGATTCAACCAAATGACAATCAGACATATTATCAACAAGAAAGCATTGCCTCCGAATTTCAATTATATATCTCACACATTGACTGATATTTTCGGTAAAAAGTCAAATATAGGCACAGGGGTCCACATATTCGGTACCTAGGGGCTCGAACAGGTTTGGTTAGATTGGGACAATTTTTGGTCATAAGATGGCACACTTTAGAAGGACTTTTGAAAATTTACACTTTAGAAGGAATGTGAAAGAATCAGATGGATTTTAAAATTGTGTTGTGTTGTTCCGATTTCTTCTATTTTCGCCCGGCAACATCGGAATGTTGTAGGAATGTTACGTAATAAATTTGGTTAAAATTGGTGGAGCAG